GCAAAATATGAATTTACAATCTTTGAATTATACAATTTATATAGCTATAAATTCTATTTATATTTCATATATTATAACATAAATTATGCAACAATATGTATTATAGTAAAATTTGAGTATTCAAATATTGATTCAATTGTATTTAAAAGTTTTAGCCACCTTCTCAATATATTAGTTCACATCATAGAAATTGTTTTTCATGATAAATACAGAAAAGTCTTTATGCAATATTATTCCTAGAAACATAAATTAGTATAACTTAAAAATAAAAAGTATATATATCTTTAATTATTTCAAACCTTATTGAACTTCATATCCTAAATGATAGTTTTTAGATCATAATCTTCATGAATTTCTATTACATTAGATTCAAAATTCTCATTTTCAATCAAATCATTATTATTATCATTATATAATTTAAAAATTAGTGAATTAAAATCAATAAATGTTTTGATTTCTAATTCTAAATTATCTGTTGCAGTATTAATTGAATCTGAAACAAAGAATTGATCAATGTTATCTTGAGAATTATCATCTTCAAAGTCATAAAGCATAGAATTAACTAATGTATATAAATCATTAGAATTTAATTCATTGTTTTTAATTTGTCCAGTTTTTACTTCAATTTGTAACATGTTAAATTGATGAACTTTAGCGATATTTTCTAAAGTTTGAAGATTCATTTGCTAACACTATGTTTTATAAAGCCAGTTTAAAGTTGAAAATATATATTCACATACTGCACTACTAGATGTAATTAAAAAAAGTCATATAGCAAGATATTGTAATTCATTTGGATTTACTTCACATGTTGTCTACCAACTTAATAGAGTATCTTTATTAAATGAATAAGACATTGCATATACATTTGGTGTTCTATCAGAATGTTCTTGCATCTTGTATTGCCATAATTGTGTAATCAATGATTCAAAGCTTTCTTTAGATTTTCCTAAAGACTTCTATAATGTATCAGCATAATATGCAATTGTGGGAAACATTCCAAATTTAAATCCTTTTTCTTTATAAGCTGAATATAAAAAAAATACTAGAAGGTAATTAGGATCATTAAATTCTTCATATCGTTAATTAAATACTTAAACACAATAATTTCTAAATCCATGATATTCTTTTTGTGATAATTTATTAATTGTAATACCAATTTTAAGAAGTGCAATATAGCAATAAGCAAAATTAGATTGGCTTCCTTCTACTTCAAGAATTGCAAACTTGATTGGTGCAAGTATTTTTGTTAAATACTGCATATTATCAAAAAATCCATGGCTTTTCAAAATAGTAATAATCTTATTATTTGTAATTTGATGTGTGAATTTATCTCTAATTTCCTCTAAGCATTTTTTAAAATGTATAATTAAAAATGTACATTCATGAACTGTAATCCATCTAGTTTCAACATAGTACTTAAGTCTACCACCAATAATTGCATGTTTTTCCATTTGAGTTCTTAATAAATTACTTGCAACATAAGACTTATTAAAATGTTTAACAATTAAATTGGCTTTTTTAACTAATCCAAGTGCAAATTCATCCTTAAGAATATCCTTGGCAATAAGGTTTATAGCATGTGCTATACATCTAAGATTTAAAATATATTTATATTGAGTAGTAACTAATTTTTGTGCAAGTTTTATATTCAACCCATTATTACTAATAATTGCAGCAATCTTTTCTGGCCCAATTTTCTTAATAATTGTTAAATTTGTTGTGCCAAAAATTTTTCTGCATGTGAATAACTTGAATAATCAGCAATTCGATAAATAAATTCTTTGCGATTAGGTGTAAGAAGTACAAAGCACTATAATGATGTCTTATTTTGGCTTGTTCATCTATCAATACAAATTGTTAAATTTGAAATTGATCTAATTGTTTGTTCAACTTTTATATTAATTTATGATACTTGAGTATCTAATAAGCAGCCTAATATAAAAATTATTAATTATAAAATAATTGCTAGTTTTAAAATTTTATATATATAGCAATACCTGATAACACTTGTATGATAGTAGGTTATATTCTGAACAAAGAACTTTAAGTAAATTGATAATAAATAGATTTTCAATTATGTTAAAAGGTAAACTACAAGACACAAATGCAGCAATTAATGCTTTATCAATTTTTGTTTTACAAATTTCTGAAAGTTTTATATGTTTGAACTTTTTTTAATAATCCATAAATTTAAACAACTTGATTTCTAAATGAGTTGGAATTGTATAATCTTCAACTTTTGAATCATCAAAAAGATTATTTGCAATTATGTAGTTGTAATATCGTTTAAGATTTTCAGAACAATTTGGATATTCATGAGTGATATGAGCTCTAGTTTTAGTAGGTTTAGCATGTTTAAATTTTTTATTGTAGTGAATACATTTTCCTTTGTAAACTCCACGAGATACTTCTTCGCCTAACTCAATTTCTTTTCAAATACTAGTAAATTGATATTTAGCAGATTTATAATTACTTTTACTATCAGAGTTGCTACTATTATCAATCTGGTGTTTTTTTCTTTTTGAATTTTTAGCTATTATTGTTATTTTAATTTAAAAAAATAAATAGTGAAACTAATATTTATATATATTATTAATTTATATACATATGATAATTTGAAGTTAACTATTATCTTATAAAATATATATAACATATTATAATTATGACATATTATAAGATTATTATACAAGCTTTTAATTTGTTCAAGCATGCATAATAATACTATAATATTGTGTTATTATTATATATTGCAATGTTGCGATAATTTGCAACACTTTTCATTTTTTAAATATGAATTGTAACAATTAAAATGCAATCTAATTACACTATATTTAAAGTCACAATTAAGATTTGCAGCAGGCAACACTAACTATAAGTACTAGGAATATGTTATGAAGTTAGTACTAGGGTCTGATGAACTCTGCAAGGGTAAGCCCTGTTAACAAGAAACTAAATGTGAGTAGTTAGTTAGCAAAAGGGCCTCCTGAAGCTCTACAGTTAGGTGATGTACTATAAATATATAATGGCTTAACAGATGTACAGACAGAAAGATCACAGTTAGGTTAGATAATATTTAGATATACTAAAACTTGTATACTATTTGTCAGTATAAGTATAGAGATTAGAGTATTTAAATAAGTAATTTTCTAATAAATTGCAAATATGGCAGCTAGTATAAAACCTGCTATATAGGCAGACTACTTAAAATAGACAACTAAAAGTTATATGTGTGGCTAGTTGTATACTTATCTTGTACAAGTTATGTAATTATAATTAAAATACAATAAAGGCAATAGTTGCCAATAACTATGGCCTTAGTATAAGCAAAAAAAAATATTTAGCAGTTTAATGGTTAGTTCTAACTGTAAGTGTTAGTTTTAGCTATAGCATATATAGAACTTCTTTTAGTATTCAGTAACTCTATACAATTACTACTTAATAACTATAAATAAAGATAAAAGCAAGACTTTATCTTAATACCAAAAAAAAAATTAATATATTAATACAACTAAATTTTGTTAATCTTATTAAACAAACAATATAGGCTGCTGCAATAGAAATTAGACAGATTGACATTTTAAAAAAAATCAATAACTTACCTTTCATAGCTCATATCTTAATAAATTTTGATGTCAATTTAATTATTTAATAGCTAAAAAAAAGCTTAAAGCTTAAGCTTTTTTTTAAATATTAAATAATTAAACTAGTTTATAAATTCATTAAAATATAAACTATAAAAGATAACATGTTGATTTTTTTTTTAAATGTCAATCAACCTAAATTCTATTTTTTATTTTTTAACTTTGACAGCTTTGCTGATCATCTTTATTAAGATTCTTGTATACATATTGTACAAAGTTAATTTAAATTTTGGTTTAACATTTTCTGACTACTTCTGTGAATGCCCAAAAATGGTTTACCACACAGAGCAAGAAATTATTTTTGGTCTGAAGCTATACTAAGCTAGCCAATAAGATTCTAAAAAAAAAGACTTACATTTCTATTTACAAAACTAAAAACTGAATCAAGTCATGTTTCCTGAATTTGAACTTTATCTTTTTTATTTTTTTTCTTTATGTCTTGATATTGTTTATTTATATTTGTACCTTTTTCTTCTTTCTGTATTTTTTTACTTAAGAGATTTTGTTTTTTGTTAGATTTTTTTTTTTAATTATAATATTAATTCCTATTAATTTTTTTCAATTGGCAATAATATCACAATATTTTTTTTATATATTTTCAAAAAACTTATTCTATATTGTATTTGTAAACACTATTATAAATTCTTGGCTTTCTTTAAAGATTGTATAATATCTTGTAATATTGTCTTAGCTTTTTTTTGTACTAGCTCTTTGATGGTTTTGAATCTGCTTACTGATTTTTTTTCTTTTGAAGTTCTTCATAAAAGCTTTTTAAGTACTTTTTTACTTGTTTTTTTATAGATTTCTTTTGTAAGTACTGTTCATGCCAAATTAATTGCTGTATTTTTTGTACTATTATATTCTTTTTCATGCTCTCTGCATGTTGCCAAGTAGTTTTGATCCTCTTCATAGTCTTTATTACATAATATACAAAATGTATTTTTGTATAAATCTGATTGTTTTTGTGCCAAAGTCATGAATACAGGTAGCTTTTTATTTATGCATTTAATTAATGTTGTCAATTTTCTGTTTTTCTTTATACTTGTGTATCTCATTTTATTTTGACCTTTAATGTTTTGCTAAAGTATTAACCAATCATATTTTTTTTCCTATATTTGGTTCTGTTTTTTGAATTAATGATGTAAATCTCTATTTTGCTTTAACTTTAAGTTCTAGTATATTTTTGATAAACTTCCTTGTTGGGCTTTTGATCACCAAATTCTCTTAGCAAAATAAAATATTTAAATTTAAAGATGGTACCTTTATTATTCTATCAGAATTATCTATTTTGCTCTCTTTTTTTTTTGCTAATTTATCTGCTTTATCATTCTATTTGTTACAACTATGATCTTTTATTTAATCAAGTCTAATTCTAATTCTTTAAACTAAGTAACTTTTGTATATTTCTTTTAAAATTATAGTTCTTTACTTTGATTTAATGCTTGCTTGACTTTAACTTTTTTTCTTTATTAAGACCTGCTATTGCTACTATGCTGTCAATATAAATATTAACTTTTTTCTTTCTTGGTATTATTAAAAACATATACCAAATCACAAATAACTCTGATTTTGTTGATAAAGACCAGTTTTATGTGCCTATTGTATCCTTGTTAATTACTTTTTCTTCTTTAATATTTACTTGCACTCACTCTATTTCTATACAATTACTCTCTACTAGATATTCTATTAATGTTTTTTTGAGTAAACCATTTGTATAAAAAATCAGCTCCTCATGGTTTTCTAGTTTGTTTCTTTGGTTTTTATAAACTAGCTCTTTTTTCTTGATAAGTTTTATATTTAGGTCTTTATATACTATTTCTTTAACTGAGCTTTTGTGTTTGCTTGGTTTGATTGACTTATTGTGTTCTAATCCACTTATTATTTTTTGTTTTACTTTGAGTTTGGGCACCTCTTTCTTACTAATAAGTCTTGACAAAAAGCCTTAAATATCTTTTCTATTATTTTTACCTTTTACAATTTTTCTGTTTTCCAATTTGATCTAAATTGCAACTATTGCATTTTTCCAAAAACTATCCTGTTTTGTTTTCTTGTAATTTTGTTTTTCAATGTTCTGTAAGCATTTTTTTAGATGTGTTTACAACTATTTTCTAACTACTAGATTTTTTTCTTCTTTTTTTTTAGGTAACTTTAGTACAATTTTTTTTCTGTTATTATTTGAGCACCTATCTAAGATCATCTGTAGTGATAACTTCTTATTTTCTTTTAGCAATATAGATTCTAATTTGAGTTGTTTACTGCTTTTATCTTCTAGTATAATTTTTTTGATTCTTTTAAACTATCTTGCTGATCTTTTTTTGCTTAATTTTTTTTCTTAGTAATTTGAGCTGCTGTTATGAAATCATTTTGTTGTCTTCTTTATTAATGAGCTGGTTTACTAAGAATATGTTAAGCATTTTTAATGCTAAGACTACTTGTAACATAAACTTGTCCTCTAATACATCTGCAATTCTTAGTTTTTTATCCATCTTTCTTATATTTATATTATTAAAATTGTGTTATTTGTAATTTTTTAGCTCTAAGCATTAACTAACATGCCAAATTGTTTTTCTATAAGCTGCTGTATACTTTCATTGAGTTTTTTTACCAGTTTGTTTTTGTTTTACCTAACAGTAACAACCTCTGGTTTATTTTAATCCTTGTTAATTTTTCTTTAGAACCTGCTAAATTAATTCATGTATACAAGCTTGTAATTTGTTTAATTAGCAATTAATTTTATAATGCATTGCAGTTGTTTAGATTTTTATAAATAATTATATTATTGCTTATTGTTCTTGCAATTTTTAACTTGTGTTTAGCTACCCTTATTATAGGCTTTTGTATAGTATTTATTGCTTTTTTTAAAAGTCTTGTTATATACCAACTTTAGCACTATACATATATTGTTTATATATGATATCTGAGCACTTGTTATTTTTTTGGTATTGAGTAACCTTGCTGTAGAATATACTAGTTTTTTGGCTCTTGTTTTTACTTGGTCTTCATTAAGTTTATTGTTAAGCCAAATTTCTAAAAATTTTGTTATTTTGGTTTTTTTTTCTTAAAAATCTATTCATTACCTAGTCAAATCTTTTTATTTTCTTTTGGTTTACTTGGGTTCATTATAATGAGTTTTGATTTTTTTCATTTATCTGAATATCATTTTACTTAAAAAATCTTTAGCAAATTGTAATGTATACTCTATTTGCTTTTTACTATTTGCTATCTATGTTATATTATCTGCAAATGCAACTACTGCTTGTAATTTTATTTTTGTTATATAATTTAACTAGTTATCATTTGAAATTAACACTACTGCTATATAACCTAGACCTATATCATTTTGTACTCTTTCTAGTAGTAAATCATAAGATACTCTCTATATTAATAGTAAGAGCACCTTTCTTTGTTCAATTTTGTTATTAATTACAAATGCCTCTGTGTGTCTTCAGTGTATAATTATTTTAGATTGTCTGTCTTAAAATAAATTTAATATTATTAAAATTATTTTTTCTGACAACTTAATTCTTTATATTACTTTTTTTTTTTTTGGTATTAAGATAACCTCTTTGGTCTTTTAACTTTTATTAATTACTTATTGGTATTGTGGTTCAATGAACTACTACAGGAGAGTATACAATTGGCTACATGTGTAACTTTTCTATATTACCTATTTAAGAAGTCCACTTGAAGGTTTCTTACCAATTGCTATACCTAACACCTCTGCTTGTGTGTTTCACTTTAAATCCTCTGAACCTGTAATCTATATTAATTCACTGGGTCATACTCA